TTTCGATTTTTGTACATTGACGCACAAATAAAATGAGTTATTTTTCTTGTCCTTAGTTATATGTACATGTATATATATGTATATATATATATATACATATATACATATATATATATGCATATGCATATGTATATGTTTAAATGAATCGGGAGAACAAGAATTTTTCGGTTCAACGACTCACATACATTCCTGTAGCAAGCCAAGTGCTGTAGAAATTTTAAAGATACAAACAATGAATATCCCTGGCTAGGCGACTGGAAGAAGTTGGGGGTCTGAAATCGTCTATGCAGTTTGTTTAGCGTTGCTGGCCCACCACCGTGAAGAGAAACACAGTCGAATTTTGATGATTAATGAAAACAGTGGAAAAGCCATTTAAATCTAGCACGTAGGCAAGCCTATCTGTACACTAACTTGTTAGCCTGTCTGTGTTTCATCCCTGAGCTGTAAACACAAAGAAGGGCTGTCAAGCTCCAAAAAGCTTTACAAAATATGTGGCACAAGCCCGTATTCTGTGGAGCTTTTTGTTGCAGTTTTCTTTTTTTTTTTTCAAAAAAATTATGTGAAATCGTTTTCGGTACTCTGGCGAAATTGGCATAGTAAAAAGTAGCGCCCTTCCTTGGCAAAGATTCATGTTCGTCTCCCTGAAAACCACTGGTCTCTACGATTCGTTGATTAGTTTAGATGGTGTATTTCAGAGAGAGTCAAAACCGCCATCAACTTGCATTTAAGCAGTACTCAAAAATGCTCGCCATCAGCAGCTTAGTTAGCAATTTTGTTGCTTTTAGCAATGTGGCATCGTTAGAAGACTACTTCTGAGTGCCATGCAGTATCTTTCATGGGGAATGAATTTTAACTTTTAATTTTCAGTACCAAAAGAAAAAAATGCTTCATGTTTTCTTTTTTTTTTCATTCTACTAAAGTTGTACTTTTTTTCTAGCATTGTCATTTGGTTGGGAGTAACGCGCGTGTGTTAGGATACCAGAAGCAGGTGTACAAAGTGTCTCCTTATGATCAGGATGGTTGGTTTTTTTTCTTGTTTGATAATTTCCTGGCAACCTTTGGATTATTGCTAAATTTCTGAATACTCAAAAATATTTCCTGGTAAAACGAATCCCCCACTTTTTGCATATAGGCCATCATTATGTCTCGTTTTCCGTGTATGCCTGAGATTTTTTCTTTTTTTTTTTTTTACTCATGCTTCAGTTATTTATCTGCCTTGCTCGTCGGAGGCGATTAAGGGCCAGGGAATACCAAAGTAACTTATCCCTCATTTTTCGATCGAATGAATGCACCAAAATGTGAAGGGCTGAAACTCATATTGAGGGTCACATAAAAAAAGAAATGATTTTTCCGAAAAATCTGTTTGTTTTCTATCATTTCTTGAACTGCTTCTTGTTCTTTTAAGGATTATTAGTTCCCGTAGCAACACCATAACATTTCCATTTTGACACTGTATCGTTGCAATGAATCGTTCTAGATCTGTCGGATTCGACAAGCTCATCATCGTCGTCGACCCAGGAGCCAATCTCTCCGGACGGTGGATATGGTTGGATTATTGTCTGTGCCTCATTTCTCATCCATTTTATCTGTGACGGTAAGAATTTTTTGCGCTTTTTTATTCCTTGTCTGTACTGGTGCAGGAGTTTGGATGAGTACTGTATAAGTCTATTGATTATTATTCGCGGGCTATAATTTTGCCATACTTTGTCCTGGATCTTCTTTTTTTTGCAAATTGAACATTCGGTATGAAACTCTGAGTTTATTTAAAACATTGATTACGAAGTTAGTTAGAAGTTCAGAGCAGTCGAAAGGGAACAGGAATTTGTAGCAATCAGCAGAAAATGTCTCTTAAAAAAATTATTTTTTTTAATGTATTTGTAACATTTTTCATTTTTTCAGACGCCCTTTTTTTCAGGAATTTCATTTTCTTACGGCATAATGTTTCCCGAAATTCAGCAATATTTTAAAGCAACAAAAACGATGTCTGGTATTGTGGGCTCGATTTTTTTGGCCATACCACTGCTATCGGGACCTCTGGCTGGCGCTTTAACAGATATATACGATTGCCGGTATGATAGTTTTTTCCAGTATTTCACATGCAATTCTACTGTGCTTCAAAATTTCAAAAATGAAATACGGGATAAATTTTTTTTTTGGATTCTAAAATTTAGTTTTTTTTTTTGAAAATTCTTGTTTGCATCGTTTTGGTTTTCTGTTGATAGGGCTATAATTTTAGTGAAATTAAGCATCTCTTGATTTCGTACAGAACGTAAAAAATTCCACTTTTTGTTAAGCATATGGTTTTTTTGCTTATTCTCGCTGTGGAGGAATTGACATTATGTATTTTCCGGATTTTTGTCTCAGTATTTTTTTTTTTTTTTTTTTTTTTTTTTT